GCCTCCCCCCCCCCAGACTCCATCGCTTTCCCCTGCCCCTCCCACTGCTCTTCTCCTCCTCTTCCCTTGATTTCTTTTATTTTTTTTTCTAAAGAATTATTTATTATCATTATTTTTCAATTTTAACTAGAGAGAGAACAAGGCACCAGGTCCGGTACTCGAACGGTAGGCCATGTGGGACTCTTGCGTCTTTAACCACCAGGCCACCTGCCAGCGCCCCTTGACTTCTTTTCTTCTGACCAGTCTCCTGGAACCCAACGCTCATCCTCTGGCTCCTCCCTCACCTAGGTCCTCCCCTCTCCTTGATCCTTCCGCTTGCATGGCTCCTCCCCCTCCTGACTTCTGCTTTCCCTTACCCATTCTGTAGGCACAGAATTCCTTCTCCTCCCCAGCCCTTCTCCTGGCTCCTCCCCCTCCTGGCTCCTCCCCCTCTTGTGACTCCTCCCCTCTCCTGGCTTCTGCTTTCCCTTATCCATTCTGCACCTGATTCCTTCTCCTCCCCAGCCCTTCTCCTGGCTCCTCCCCCTCTTGTGGCTCCTCCCCTCTCCTGACTTGTGCTTTCCCTTATCCATTCTCCACCTGATTCCTTCTCTTCCTCTCCCCAGTCCTTCTCCTGGCTCTTCCCCCTTCTCTGTCCCTGGCCCCTTTCTCTTCTCCCTGACCCTTTCTGCTTTCCTTTCGTCCTCGTTTTCCTCTTAGCCCCTCGCCTGCGGCTTCACTTCCCTCCTCCATGGTCTTGCCCTTCCTTTCAGTAGCGCCTGTCCTGTGGCTCTTCTTACTTGCCGCCTACCTGTGCACGTAGTTGTGGGAGTGCAGGTGTGCCAGGCCGCGTGCAATCTCCAGGCCCATCCTCTGCAGGGTCCGCAGGTCTCGAGGGGGCAGCTCGGGGGACAGGCCCTCGGGAGGCCGCTGAGCGCGGAGATAACGCTTCAGGTCCCCCTGTGAGAGAGGAGAGGCGGAATCAGTACCACCCGCGCCTCCCAGGCGCTCGCATGTGCAGCAGCTCTGGAGCTCCTCCCTTGCTGTGCCTGCCTGCTAGACCAGGGCAGCCACCGGTGCCCGAGAATGGTAGCGCGTGCCACGCCAGCGTACCACCAGACGATGATGGTGACGTGCCACTGGAGTCTGAGGACCCTGCTGGCCCTGCCCCGCCTCCCCTTAGGTCCCCATCCGCCCTCCCTCAGCCCCCTCTCCAAGCCCCTCACCAGTTGACAGAACTCCATAATCAGCAGAAAAGGCAGCGTCTCCACGCAGAGGCCCAGGCACTGGAGGACATTGGGGTGCTGCAGACTCCTGGGGGAGAGAAGGCTGCATCAAGGAGTAGCCCCCCCACCCCCCCAACTTCCCAGCGGCACCAGGCTGTTGCCTCGGCCTCTTGGCCTCAGTTGCCTCACGTCAGAGTCTTTCTCCCACCCCCAGGCCCATCTCGGGCCCTCCCACACTGCCCACAGTCCCTGGGTGGATTCCCTGGCCCTCCCAGCCTTGCCTTCCTCCTCAGCCCTCTCCCTTCCATCCTTCAATTCCCTCCTCTCCATTCCCACCCCCCCCCACCGCATCCCTGCCTCCAGTCTTCCCCGTCCCTGACCTGCTGCTCGCCTACCCACAGCCCTCTGTGGCTCCCCAGCATCCTCAGGGGAGAGCCCCGGCTCTTTGGTCTCCCCTGCCCTCAGGCTGCCCAACATCACCCCCCACACACACCCCGTGTACATCTTCCCGAACACACAGGCCTCTGCGTTCACAGCTGTCTCTGGAGAGCACCCTACCCTCATCAAAATGCTCCTGGCCCCTCAACATCACCTGCGCAGGAAGCTTCCCTGCCCCCCGACGCTGGGCTGGGGGCCCCTTCTTTACCCTCACACTGTGGGCAAGAATCAGGCCTTCGCTTGACTTTCCCAGACCTCAGAGAAGTCACCTCGCCTCTCCCTGCCTCCGTTTTCATTTCCTCCTGTGGAGTGGGGACAGTAACAGTGGCTCCTCCCTCACGGTGTGAGATGGAGGGGACCCATGGCACGGTGAGAGGCTGCCCACCGCTGGGCTCGCGAGCGTCTTCTCGCCCTGCCTCCTGCCTCCTAACTGGTTTCCGGAGCTGCCGGCGATGGCTGAGTCTATTCCTGCCTCTCAGTTTCTGCCCCTGCTGCTCCTTCTGCCAGGAACACGATTCCCACAAGACTTCGATTCCTCCGGGTCACCCCTGCCTCCCTGATCCTCTTGTGGAAACTGGCCCTGTCTCCATCACGTACCGTCTCCTTTCTTCACTCGCTGATTTTTCTTTTTAAAATGTATTTCTCGGGGCAGACAACGGTGCAGCAGTAGAACATGACACTGTTTTGCGAGGCTACCATGGGGTGACACCCGAGTATGCCAGGCCCACGCGTACCTGCGACCTGGGGCTGGGAGTGGATTTGTCTGGGTGCTGTCTCTCTCTCTCTCTGCCTCTGTCTCTCTGTCTCATTCATGGAATAAATAAGTTTTTTTTCAATTTTTTTTCCCTTATTTGCTGTGTGTCTCCTCCACTAGGTGGTGAGCTCTGCCAGAGTGTTTGGTCACAGCTCTGTCCCCAGTGATTTGACTAGTAGATGCGTAATAAAAATGCAGGATGGGGGCCAGCAGGTGGCATGGTGGCTAAGGCTCTGGAATTCCCACATGGCCGACCATGGTTCGAGTCCTAAATCTGGCAGCTTGCTCTCTCTCTGTCTTTCTCTGGCAAAACTCATGCAGGAAAAAAAAAAAAAAAGTAAAATAATCTTTTAAAAAATGTGCAGGATGAAGAACTTCATACTAACTCATGGCCTCAGGTCTCTGGGAGGACTGCAGTTTTCCAGACTGGCCACCCAGAGCCAGGCCAGGAGCAGGTGCACAATAAGGTCCTTTCCTGCTGGCGGGAGGCGGTGCCCAGTTCTGGCTACCCAGGCATCCCCATCTACCACCTGCATTCTGATCACAGCACTGTCCATGGCTGCGTGACTGGCTCCATTGAGCAGTGCCTGCTCCTAGAAGAACCACGTGGCAAAGCGCTCTTAAAGCTCTGGCCATGTGATGGGGCTTGGGCACCTGCTGAAGCAGCCCCACGTGGGAAATGGAGGATGGCCGCTGTGGAGGGGTGTGGGGTCACCCCTGGTGTCAGATCCTCCCAACAGCACTGGCAGGCCGGATAACAATCCCCACTGGATTCAGAGGAAGTGGAGGCTCAGAGAGGGGGAGCGACCTGACGAGGGCCACACAGCTGGTAACGGTGGCAAAGCTGAGATGTGAGAGAGACGCTCATGCCAGGGTTGCACAGCCAGGATTTGGGTCGGGTTTGAGCCCACGCAATGCTCCTTCCACTCCCAAACGGTACCTCTAGGAGACGCGAACCTGGAGGCTGAGCTTCCAGAGCCTACGCCCACCAAGAAGCCCCCATACCTGTAGGGCTGTGCTTCTGAGATGAACTTGCGCTGCTCCAGGGGCCCGGCGCTGGCCCGGAGCTCCTTCACCACCACCTGGGCTGGGGTGTAGTCAGAGAAGATCTCTCCCAGGATCACCTGGCCAGGGGCACGCAGGGGTCAACCTGTGCCCTCCCCGGCCACATCCCAGAGGACCAGCTCCACCCCACAGGCGCTCCCTCCTTCCAGCAACTCCCTTCATATCCCACCACCCCCAACCCCATCAGACGCAGGTGAGTGACTCACGGGCCCAAAGTCCGATGGGCGCAGGGATGGATGGAAGGATGGACAGACGGACGGATGCCTGGAGAGCCGGGTGGCCAGGCGGAGTGGTCAATGGAGTGAGGTGGGAGGCGCTGACCGACAAATGTGGGGGTAGGGGGCTGGGGGTCAGGGGAAGGAGGTGAGGGACAGATGAGAAGTGGCCAGAGCGAGGCGGGGAGGGGATGGACACAGAACAGCACAGCCCGGGATTGAACGGACCCCTTCCCCTCCACCCTCTGCCCCACTCACCTTTCCAAACCAGCCGCTCCCAATCTCTTGCAGGTAGCTGAGGTGCTGGCGGCTAAGGCCCATTGGGGTGGTCATGTCTGGGAAGAAGTGGGGAGGCCCTGAGCCTCTCTCCCCTCCCCAGTGCCACCCTCCCCAACTCAGTAGGACTGAGGTCAAAGCAGACACCAATCTCTTCATTGGCTGCCTCCAACATTCCATGATGGGATCTCAGCCTCCTCATTGGCTGCCCACAGGATTCCAGCATCCAATCAATCCTTCCCTTTGGCATCCCAAGATCCTAACGCCTGATTTGGCTTCCAGCGAGTTCGAGCTCCAGGCTGCTCTCACTCCTGAGTGCCCCACAATCTGGTTCCTGGTTAAACAATGGCTTCCCCATGCTGTCCCTCTGCCTTCCCATAGGCTACTTCCGACGTGCTGGGACTCACAACTTTGCCTGCCCAACTTGCTGCTTCTGGACTCGGCCGCCCAGAACCTCAGGGTCTCCCACACTGTCCCGAGGGCAGTACCTGAGTGTGAAGGCTGCGGGGCAGGCATTGGCAGCGAGACCTCGGCCAGCGGCAGGATGTATACATCAGGCAGCGACTGTGAGGAGGAGGTCTCCTCCGCAGGGGGCGTGTACTCCCCGGAGCAGTCCTCCCCTTCAGGGTTCTCAAACTCCTGGGGCCGGGAGGGGTGCAGAGTAGGGGAACACAGAGCTGAGAGACGCACCACCGCCCTTCTCTTCGGCCTGTCTCCCCACGGTCCTCATAACAGCACCCCAGTCTCGGCCCAATTTCCCGATCCCGGGCTCCATAACTTCAGGCCAGTGTCTCCTCCTCCCCCACCAGCCACCTGCGATGGGGAAAGGCTGGGTCTTCCCACCCACGTTAATCCCCTCTGGCAACTCACCTTGAATCCGACATCGCCCCGTTTGCAGCACAGACAGGTGAGGAGGAGGAAGATGAAGGCCAGCAGGCCCGAGCAGGAAATGAGGACCACGGCGTAGGGAGGAGCCAGAGGGGCTCGGCCCAGGGCGAATCCATCTGCGGGCACAGGGCTCGGCTGGGGTCCCGGCTTCAAGTCCCAGGCTCCGGGACTCCGTGCCCCTCCCGTCCTGGCCAGTCTCGGACTACAACTCCCATGATGCGCTGCAACTAGGAGCCCCTTGGCAGAGAAGCCGGATGGCCCAGGGTATTGTGGGAGTTGTAGTTTCGGGGGGCTTCCCAGGTGGTTGGGTTGGGGGTGGGGTCCCTCCTCTCGCCCCAAACTCGGACCCCTCGCTCCATCACCTCACTCCAGGTTTGGATGAGTTTCAGAGAGGAATGAGGGAAGGAGGAATAATACTGAGACTCGGAGCTCTCGGAATTTAAAATGCGCTCCCACAAACAGCCTCGGTACCCCCTATTTGGAGAAGAGGATGATTTCCTCACTGCAGGCTGCGAGAGGATTCCTGCCAGATGCTGGAACCCCCCCCACCCCCCAGTTAGGGGGAGTGAGACCTGTTTCTCCTAGGGACACACGTGTCTTCTACCCTGGGCCCAAGCCCCTGAGAAGGGAACTCCGCAAGCCCTGGGTCTCCCCCAAAGCCAGAGACAGCCTCCCGTGTTGTGCCCCCCTTAGAAATAGTACTCCTCCTCTCTGCCCCCAATTCTCCCGGAGGCCCTGTCCTTCCCCGGCCCCTGCACGCACCTGCACACACACATGCGTGCACACGCACACACATGTTGCCTAGCCGGACCCCCTCCCCGCCCA